AAAAAAATAAAAAAAGAATTATCACATTTTCGTTTGTAGAAAACATTTTGGCAATGAAAAATCTGGTTATGCCATGTGTGGTATTTCCTGAAAGCATTAAATCCCACTTTACCTCAAAAAGCTAATTTTTTAATTCTTAAAAACCCTGTTTTTTTTTAGTTATTGCTAATGAATCGGTCCAAAAATCATGCTCATTTGCTATAATAATCGGAAACTTTCTTTGCATCTTTAGCTATTAGTTGGCAAATTGGGTATTTTATAATTTGTTTCCAAGTAATTTAGTATTTTGTATTGGGAAGTCACAATATTACTTCTTTTGTTACAATTAGGCTACCTTTCCAACACATAACGCATATTCAGCGCCTATTTTTCAGTTTTTAAAAACAATTTAACATGCATTTAATCCATTATCAAACAAATGTTTTGATATTTCTAAAGTACTAAAGATATTGGATTTCTGAGGGAGGCATAATACGCCTTGAAAATATTTCATATAATTTACGGACAGATTGGAAAGTCTCGTGTGAAGTAAAATTCAACTATTGTTAAACATTGAGAGAAAGTGTTTATCAAATTCAATTGAATCATTTTGATTTTCTTATTTATGAATTCCATTTTTTCATTTTCATAAAAGTTTTACAAATTTTATCATAAATATATGTCATTCGGATAAAAATGAATCGCTATGAGTAATGCATGATAGTTTTTGTCAGTCAACACATGAGCCTATTTTATCAAACATTCAGCATAACTTCTAATTATATTTAAGATAATATTTAAGATAATATTATAACGCTCATATTAATTATCTCCAAAATATCTCGACTCACGTTTAGTTGAATTACAAATATGTACATGTCCTTACATTTGACAAAATGCTGTTCCTTTGTTCGTTTCGTTAAGGTGACAACGGAGTCAATTATCACTGAAAATACCTAAAATGAGATTTTTTGCTACGTAGATTTATCAACCTTTTCTGAACACATTCGTGATTTAATTTTGGAAGCAGTTTGTCCAAAAAATGTGTTTTTAAACGTTTTAAAACGGTACCTATACTATTTGTATCTGCTATTCGCGTAACCTGTCGATTATCGATAACGCTCCGCCCCCTGTTGAGGCATCAATGAGGGAAATCGGTAGTTCCATATATCCGGGTCCATATTGGTCCATACTTCTCGTAATACATGTATCGTACAACTACCGTACATCTTTTATGAATATCTCAACATTTATCCTTTTATTACAAATTAAGAAATTGTCGGCCAATGTACGTAACATAATGAATGAAACATAAATAATTAAGATAGCGGCAAATCGCACGACCACGTGGTTGATTAAAAATGTAGTTGCTAAAATATCCATAATATGTGAAAATAATTTGTCTGTCCCGTTAATCTGATAGATATTACATTGAGTTGATAGACTTTTGTACGGATTCAAGGCTTACTTTACATTCAACCTCGTTTCCTAACAATGTCAAGTAAAACAACAACAAAAACAGACAACATTTTTTATGTGAACGCCTATATGACTTGTGGTAAGGTGTCCCTGACAAATTTCTAAACCATTTTAAGATTGTCTAAGGATGATTATTTCTCTATAAATAAAAAAGATATTAAATATATATTCTCAGTGAAAATAAATTGTTCGCCAGTAAATCGGACACAGTACTAATAAATCTGAAATTTATTGTCAATCCCGGTAGAAACTGGATCTTTCTATGCCGTGCATAGATGATATTCATAATAGAAGTCAAGAAGGCCAGATCATAATGATCGAGTAATACCTTTTATTTCTATTAAAATATGTGAAGCATTATCAATTTGGTGGAAAAATATATAATATCCCCGTTCTTATTTGTACATCTAACATGGACTTTAAAAGACTGTCAGAAGCTCAGTTTTTGTGTTGTTATTTTATTTTATATTTTAAACGGAATTTCATACACGAATACACAGACAGAGTGACACTGGTATAATACAATAATAATGCTGATGATAATAATAAACTTCAAAAGGAAACAATTAAATACCCCCCGCTAGCGGTGCGCAAATGCGTTCCATTTCCCCCCACTGAGTGCCTCAAATTTTTACCGATAGTCACGTGACATGTGCGACAGATACCAGACGAACAGTAAATCACGTTAATTAGAATTGAAGAAATTTCGGCTATAAACTGATATTAATCAGCAGCTTTTTAATTGGTCAGATGTCACTGGGTCATAAAATGTTGTTAGAGTATGTTACCGCAACTTGTGACCCTCTCTGGTGCGATATTTGTGTATTATGCAATTATTTAGCGTGAAACGTAGGGGTCCGAGAGAGAACAGCCGATTTATGACACTTCGTTTGATGCGGGTCGGACTTACTTTGAATCGGCATAACTTTTTTAATAATCAAGCAATTAACATGCGGTTTAAAGCACATGAAAGGAAATTCATTTACGGAGGGAACCGTGTCAGGGATTTTTGTTTGCTGAATAGGCGACTTAATTATCTTTAATTACGTAATATGTATGGTGAAAAAAGTCGCATAAAATGTTTGACGTTACGTAATATTTTTTTGAGAAAGGTTAGAAAAAATTTGAGACACGGTTCCCCAGATAATATAAGTATGGTTATTTTCCAAAAGTTTGATGACAAAAAATAAAAAATGACTTTGATATGACGATTTAAAATTTTAAGATTTTTATTCAAAATCAATCATTTACAAAGGCATTTTTTTCAAATATGTTATTTTTTATGATGGTCAACGACATTTAATGCACAAAGATTAAATAAATAACAATTATTACTAAAATAACTTTGTTTAAATGACATTTATGTGAGTACCATGGAAAGTGTCTGTTGTCACCTTAAGTTTGTATTATTTTTTTTTTATTAATATTTACAATATAAGTGTATGTAATTCTTAAATGCATACCCGTGAAATATAGTTTGACATGTTAAATAACTTGTATAAAGATTTGTATGACAAAGATATAAAACTGTATGTACAACCATACTAATATCTGCACTAATAGTATGCTCTTCCGTGTAATGTATCTCATGATCAATGACTTGGTACCGAGCAAAGTGTTGTTCAAGTATGTAATAAATATGTGACTGAATGTATCGAAGATCATGAAAATGAATGAAATTTCGATCGCATCCGGTATGTTATATATTAAAAAAAAACATTAATAAACGATCCGAAAACAATACAAATGTTTCCTGACCTCAGGTGCAATTATTGGACGAAACTGAATAGTCTTTTTTTCCAAGTGACTGCAATAATTATATTACTAGATCTGTAAAAATTTTCATTCCCAAATTCGTACATACGAGTAAGTATGATAAGTATACATATTCAGATTTTCTCTATACAGTGTCAAATTATCTTTTAATTTTATCATTATTTTCACAGTTTAGCCCTAAAATAAAATTATGTTTGTTTCCCCTTCTCAACCTATCCGAAGAAAATCCCGCGACCCGGAAAATTTTATTTCAGTTTCAGGTCTGAACATTTTTTTTTTCGGTTGTTATCTGGGTACTAAATTGAATCAGTATGAAATGTTCTGAGTACGAAAGGGTTCACTCTTCCCGCTCGCATTCATGTATACATGCCTGTAATTCTCAATATGACGAAATAGTCTACGCTCCGCTTATTTCAAAACGGTCTTCGAAACATTTTTCATTAGTCAATAAAATTTGAAAACCAATGACACAAATTATCGAGAGTACTGAAGGTGGCGGACTACATGTTAGATGTCAATAAACATCAATTAAAAATCGATAAATTTCGAATAGGACCAATTCCGAATATACAAAAATGAGGGATTATTTAATTGGTAGGTCTTGTTCACGATCGATCGTGTGCCACATATTAACGTATTGCTAATTAATGTTGATACATTTGAAATTTTTGTTTACAATTTCAATGGACCCAGCAATTGTTGATACGTTAAAACACGCAGGTCACAAGATGTTATATGTCCAGTGATATCGATAATACTTTAAAATAATTTGAAAATAATCGAATAATTATCGTTATGCATGCAACTTGTATTTTCACTTCTACTGTAGTGTAAATTCATAAGAACATTTATAAATTTTTTGCGTAATTTTCGAATTTTAGTGCAACCCCACTTTGGTTGCAGGTTGTTCCTGAATAGGCCCGGAATTTTTAACGTAAAAATTGAGTTTCAAAAGGATTGAAAAACTGTATTAATATCTACATTCAAACTTGGTTTGTTTCAGTATATCAGCAAAAGCAAGAGATTTACGTAAGAACGATATCCTTCTTTTATCAATGCCATACTGTTAGTGCCGTCTGAAACTATTTCAAGCTCTATTTGTAAATTGTAAATGTGTATACATGTTTGAAATAAAGTATGTTTAAACTAAAACTAAATAACAAATGATTTGCATATTAATATTGTTCTAAATAAACATATCGGAGTATTCCGGCCGTAGACGTATTCGAACCCCTCAATAACCTTCATCGAACGAACATTTCCGAATTCATTAGATGTGACTACCTTAGACATAAATAGCAAAAAGAAAAAGAAAAAAAAACAAAGAAGAAAACACAACAGAAAAGAAGAGGAAAACAAAGAACAAAACATGCATTATTTATGTATTAAACAAGTGTTTAAAGTAGTTAAATTTTAAAACCTTTATAGAGTGTATAAATCTTTGACTTACGAATTTGTTTGCATTAAGGGGTATTATTTAATGGGCTCCATGTAAGGAAACAAATAAGAAAAAAAGAAAAGAAGAAGAAAACAACGAACAAAAATGCATTATTTATGTATTAAAAAAGTGTATAAAGTAGTTAAATTTTAAAATCTTTATTGAGTGTATAAATCTTTGACTTACGAATTTTGCATTCAGGAGGATTATTTGTTGGGCTCCATGTACTGTTGTGTTGACAGGTCATTTGATTGGGGCCATCAAGTGTGTACCCTTCGTCACAAGTGAATGTAACAACGCAACCGGAGGTCCAATCCCCACACTGGGCCTCACTCATTTGTCCATTAGTTGGTAGAGTAAGCCTTGGACATCCTTTTTTAAAATAAAGAAAAGTAAAATGACTATCAACATGCATACTAAAATTTTGAGTTCGTGAGATATTTGAAAAATAAAAATAATGAATAAACCTGTGTAATACATGTATATACAAAAAACACCACTACCTGCGTATTCAAATCTTTCACATTGTAAACAAAAGCTGTCATTGGAGACAGCGAGCTCGACCAATTTAATTCCTGACCAAAAACTATGGAAATAGATCAATTATAATATATAATTTTTGTATCAGTATCAAGAAAGCACAACTCAAATATTCAACACCACATAATATAGATGTGACCATGTCTTAAAATTAACATTCATTTCTCTATGAAATCTGAAGTTAATCCTGTCAGTAACAAAAATGAAAGATGGTAAAAAGTAAACATTTTTTAAAGTAAAATAAAGAGTTCAAAGAGGAAATAACTCTTGAAATTAAGATGCAAGAGTTATGAACATTTAACACGAATGTGTAAGTAATGACAAAGAACAATTATCTTAAGTCTACAGTAGCTACCATTTGAAATAAGAAAGATAATACTTAAAAAATATATAACAATTTTCAAGTAAATTCCAAAAAATGATCACAAATGACAAAGGTGTTGATAACAAACCATTGTCGGATACCCACGGCCGAACCATAAACATTAATTATGTGACATGTTTATCAATCGTGGGTATCCGACGATGATAACAAATATATTTTGACGTATGAATAAAGTCCCTAAAGAAATAAAGAAAAAGTAGGTTTAAAGGGAAGATAATTCGGAATATAGTAATCCTTTGAAAATTAAAGAAGTAAGAGAGAGAGAAAAAAATTCCAAGTTCAGTGGGTAATTATTCTGGAAATATCCATGCTAGAGATATGAATCTTGTCACATGGTTATATTAAGTAACAAATATTTCAAGTTGAAGTAGGTATAACTTAAAGAATTTTTAAAAAAAATAAATTCTATGTTCAATGGGGAAGAATTCTGACAAAATGTGAGCAAAAGTTATGAATCTTGCCACACATCATGTGGGTAAAGTTATGGAACATATATTTGAAGTTTGAAGTAGATTTCTTAAGAAATAAAGAAGTTAAAGTTAAAAAATACGTTTTAAAAAAGAAACTATAAGTTTATGGGGCCGGATAATTCTTTAAAATTAAATGTTAACGTTAAAATCTTTGTTTCGTAAGATGTGCTTAATGATAAGAAGATATATTTGAAGTTTGAAATTGACCCCTTATGAAATAAAATGTAACAGTAAAAATAATATTTTTAAGAACAATTTTAATTTCAAGAGGCGATAATTCTGAAATCATTACTTTTAGAGTTACGAACCTTGTCAAAAATGTTTTCTCAAAGTGATTTTTCTTTTTATATATCTTTTAAATAACTTAAACTAACAAGAACTGTCTTTCGAACATTATTAATTATAATTGCCGTTTTTATTGTTGTTTTAACCTTATCACAAATTAAAAAGTAAGGCCGCTGGGCCGTAAGGCCGCCGACATCACGCCTCTAGGCCGCCGACTTCGCACCGCTATAGGCCGCCAACTTCAAGCGACCAGGCCGCTTGGCTGCTAGGCACTGCGCAACATCGAACCGTACGCACATCGTCAAAGTGCATGTTGTTTACAACGTGGAGTACACAATGGGAAAATTAAATGTGTATATTAGCTCTCTGGCTCGGTTATATCAAAAAGGGGAACATCTAGATAGGTAATGAATGGGTTTATCTTCTTTTAAATACTCGGTAAAGGTATACAAAGGTTTGCTAGCACTGAACTCCTCAATTACATGTCGTTAATTCAATTTCTATGTTTAATATTCTCTGTAATAAACATGATTCCTAGTGAAGTCTCCCGGAAAACAGTAATTTTGGCATAACTTAAAGCGGTAAGTACTTTAAACCTAATTTGATATTTATAATAGATATATAAAAAAATATGCGGGACTAGGTTCTTTCATCATAATTATGGCTGCGCAGTATCATTTTACATTTAAAATGATTCTATGAAGTGACAAATAGTGTACGTGTGATTCATTTACCTATATTTTGAATATGTGTTACGATAAACTGAATAAAAAAATGCGTATTATTTCTCTCCCAAAAAGGAAAATGTTAACTTCTCAAGATTTTGTAAAATTACTAATTAGATATGACTATGTTTAGCATCAGATTGCGTATGCACGACAAAATATTACATCCAGTCGAGTTTTCATAGCAAGGTGTATAAAAGGTGTATAAGATGCTCTTAACGACAAATATGGTAAATGTTTATTGTTGTCTTTACGTTAAACTGCTTGTTTGTATTACACGAACACTTAATTCTGCTGCAATATTTAGATTATCCAGCCGTGGTGTAAGAGGTTCTTATTTTGTTTAAATAAATAAATTAATTAAAATGTTAATTTTTTTTATATTTTGTACCAGTTGTTAATATTTGGTTATTTCTGTGATATAATTAATAAAAACTAAAATTTCATAAATATTTGAACAAATTGGAAAATTTCATACAAATTAAAATATTGATATAATAAACAGAATCATTTTTTTGTTATTGAAAATTCATTCCAACACTCCTCGTGATTTTGTCACCATACACAAAGAAGAAAAAAACAGTGTTAAACTGCCAAGGGGGTAGGGGACCTAAAATGAACAGTTTGTACTTCAGTGTGGCCAGAAACACAATTCCAAATGTTTCAAAATCTGTAACACAGACCACGGGAGCTTGACTTTTAATCAATACATCACAGAATATACGTATATTAGTGATATAGCCCTTTTCTCTATATAAAAAAACGAGATAAGGGCTATATCACTAATATACGTATATTTTGTGATGTATTGATTAAATGTCAAGTTCCTGTGCACAGACAGATAATCATATGCACAGCATTATTCAAGGATATATAATAAATGCATTGCTCCTAAGATTAATGACTGACTGTAATTTATATTTACACCCACCCGACAAAAATCACACCTAAAATATACAAACGTGCGCGATATTTCACAAAATTTATCAAAAGTTTCTAACTTTTTTTTTGGCGCCAACGCCATTCGTCGTCGATTCCTACGCATCAAAAATACCAACCGGTGTTAAATAGACACCGTTCAGACCGATATTAATGAAAAAAAAATAAAAATCATTAAAAAATAAAACTTGGAAACAAGATTGTTTCGGCAACATGAACCTGGAGAATAGGTCATAACGTTTGGCAATCTGACTAAAGTTCAGACCTACTTTTTTCTTCCATGTAGATCTTCAATGTAGATCTGATGATGACCGTATACGAGGGATATTCGAAATGTATTGCTTATTTCCATCTGGAGACTTCAAATTTCAAGTTGGCTCAAAAGTGTTCTTTTCATGCCCTCGAATAAGTCCCCGTGGCTAGAAATGCAAAGTTTCAGCCGATGTATCTACTTCTTGAAAGCGTCACGATACGCCGATTTGGGCACAGTAATAAGGTATTGATGAATGGCAGATCCAAGTGTCTGTCGGGACTTGTATTTCCGCCCAGCAAGTAAGGATTTTAATTTCGGAAACAATAAAACATCACATGGGGCAATGTCTGGAGAATACTGGGGATGAGGCAAAACAGTTACTTTTTCTTTTTTCAAAAACGCCAAAACTATTGCGGAGGTATGAGCGAGGGCATTGTCATGTTTAAGACCGATATGCTTAAAACCAGTTACAGGGCGTTGTTTCTTAAAATACTTTTTCAGTTTCTTAGGTACTACGTTTTTGTAGTACCTTCCAGTGATACTTCTGTCCTTTTTCACCAGCACTTTTATTGCGACTCCTTCACCAGAGAAGACAATTGCATACAAAACCTTCTTTGCACTCAAAGTCCGTTTGGCAATTATTGGGCGTCTGTTGTGTTTAGCGGCCCAGATTTTGTTGCTAACTTTTCTGACAGGCTCAAAATAATGGACCCAAGTTTCATCTCCTGTGACGAAATTGGCAAACTGTTTTTTTGTCATATTTTGGAAACATTTGAAGCAGCTTTTTGGCCACCTTAACCCGTTGCCTCTTTTGCTAATCGGTCATCAGATTTGGCACCCATCTTGCGGAAATTTTTCTGACTTTAAAATGATTCTTCAAAATAAAGTGAACCGTTGATAGTGATATGCCTACCTTTCCTGCAATATCATGAACTGTAAATCTGACATCTCCTTCAATGATATTCTTTATTTTGGAAACGATTTCGTTACGAGATGCAGAGTTTGGGCTACCTGATTTTGGTGCATTTTTGATGCACTTTTCACTAGATTCAAATTTCTTTTCCATCGCCTTACTGTGTCATAAGACAGACAAGAAGGCCCATAGCAGTAGTAAGTTCAGTCATTAACTGCCAGTTTTGAGCAAGCTTTGATGTAAACCCGTATTTCATCTTTTAGTTGACGCTTCTGCCAACTATTTTTACTACAGTGGCCAATGACTGCGTGTATTTAAATGGCAAATTGTATGTCTTACACTTAGTCTAACATGTACATTTATAGACCGTTGTGTAGGTATTGAATTACCCTATACAGGTATCTGTTGGGTTTTTATCGTGTCCCACGTGGATCACGAGATAGAGGACAATAAGCAATTCTTTTCGAACAGCACTCGTAGTTTTGCCTTCTTTATAATTCGGATTTCCCAAGAAAACTTTTTATAGCCATGCAATCAAACCGGTTTTTACAGATAGACATTAGAAGTAGTATCAAAATAGCGTTATCCACGGAAGTTAAAACAATTGTTGATTTTTGTTAGAAAAAATGTTTGAAGTAATTTTTAACAAATTTACTTGTAATAATAAAGTCAATTTTTAATGGGCAAGATTGTTTTACGAATTTACCTTTCGGCTATTTAGACAACATGAAAATTACCTCTTCACTATTGGTTAAAATTAGGAACCGAATAGTTTTCAAAGTAATGAATGCTCGCTTATTATTGGTTGTTTGAAAGACCACGAGAAGGTTACTGCCTTTGGGAGAATGTTAGATCCTAATGTGTAGCATAATTTAGGAGCTGATTTTTATTACATTGTAACGTTAGGAATTTCGTGATTAGAATAATCACTTGTTTTAGTTATATGAAACTTTACAATGTATCATTTATTTTTGTCGTTCGGATGATATGTATGGCAATAATTTATCTAGATAGGCAATCAATTTGCCAGCCAACAACCAAACGCTTTCTTTATAAAGAGCTCTCTGATATATCATGTAGTCTACTGACGCTTAGTTGAAATACGAAAATGTACATGTCCTATCAATTGACAAATTGATGTACTATTATTCATTTCGTAAGTTTGATTTATTCATATAATGTATACAATATACATAAGTCATTTAGTCTGACATGTTAAAAGCATATATTTCAATTGGCATATATAACTACATACCTCCAATGAAACAATCTGCTGGATCATTGTTGTCCCATATACCGTTTGCTTGACAAGTCGCAAACTGATGAGGTCGAGGAAAAACAGGTAATGCGGGACACCGGTATGAGACACGACAACTAGGATATCTGCACATGTATACTGCCGATCCATATAAAGGTTGCCGTGGAACTGGGCAAACTGTTGAAATGCATGTAACATCATGTGACTTCGTATGTAATATATCATCTATCTATCTATCTCTGGATACTGCCAACCCCTCTTACGAGTGTTACAGGCAGGTATACATTGTATACATTTAAGAAACAGCTTTAAGATACAAGGGAATCCGGGAACCAGTCCCTAGCTCTTATTGAATAGACCCCTTGGTTCTTTTACATGCCCAGTGTATAGCACTGATACATGCGAGGATTTCCTGGATTTCTTACCAGTACACCTCTATGTAGGTGGGAAACACTGAAAGTGTCTCTGAAAAATCCCAAGGGTGTAACCCAGGATCGAACCCGGGACCTCAGGAGTGATAGTCAGTGGTTTAACCAACTGAGCTATCGCGCCATCTATTCTAAATTTTAGATGCACATCATAAAAATTATTTAATAATACATTATAACAGAAAGAAAGAAAGAAAGAAAGAAAGAAAGAAAGAAAGAAAGAAAAAACGGGAAAACAAATGCTTTTCACAGTCATGCTGTTCCTGCATCAAAGATTAATTGCATGCATTTCGTAAAAGATGAGCATACTAGACGCTTATATCTGCATAAACATGTACGTGTAATTTTATTGTTATGGTATATAAATACATGTAATAGCAAATGACCTACATAGAAATGATTACAATAAAGAATTCAATAACCCTTCCAATCATGTAATTTCTTAATTTGCCAGCAGCTTTTATCATTCTAACATTTAAGGCAAATGAAACCTTTTGAATCGTTTTGTTCATGTGATATACAAAAACATAGCTACAATAAAACAACCATTCAATCAACAAACAAACACAAAAACGAACAAAACAGACGATTATTGTAGTTTATAACCACCTTAGGAAACAAACAAACAAACAAACAAATAGAAAAGAAAAGAAAAAAAAAACAACATGAATTGACGGCACAAGTTACTTGACTTACTAATTTGTTTGCATTCAGGAGGATTATTTGTTGGGTCCCATGTACCGTTATCTTGACAGATCAATAAACTTGGGCCATCAAGTGTGTAACCTTCGTCACAGGTGAATGTTAGCTCGCAACCGCTGATCTGACGTTCGCAGTTGGTTGTCATTTGCCCATTATTTGGTTGAGTAAGCGTTAAACATTCTTTTGTAAAATCAGAAAAATATGACCATTAACATGCATTAACTTCTATAATACAAGAAGTTTGAGTTTGTGAAATATTGTAAATTTTCTACTATACTTTTACAAAACAAGAGCACCGTATAGGCGTGGCAATATATGTCCGAACTTAATAAGATTTCAAGTAATCACAGAGAGGATACCCATTTATAACATTTGTCGAAACTATGTTTTATTTCAATTACCAATATCCAGATCTACATTGATAATGCCAAAGAGCTTTGCTCCTGTTACATAAGTGGCAATTATAAAATATTATGCCACAACTTTTGCTGTAGAGGACAAGTACAAGTCATGCCCTTTAAAAAGCTATACAGAGTCATGAATATTTATCTACATGCAATTTACAGGAAGTAGGCCTATATGTACTGACGGAAAAAAACAACAATAATGTTTTTTAAATGATAAAAAATCAAAGAAACATATGAATAATATTATACCAGAAATTTTAAAGCTCAAAAAAATGTCTAAAAATAAACAAAAATCAAATTGCTATAATTATATGCTTAAGAAATAATATATCCCAAACAGTGATTTTATCGCTCAATAACATCACTGTTTGGAGTTCGGATGCGAGGAATTATATCACGAGGGCGTAGCCCGAGTGATATAATGATGCGCATACGAACGACAAACAGTGATGTTATCAAGCGATAAAATCACTGATTTGGATATATTATTTCGATTCTAACACGACATCAACAAATAAATGTTGCCGTACTTGATAGTTAAGCAAAATTGCGCCTGATTTGTTTCCGTACTTATTTTCAGCGCGTCGGATTTTTAGTGGTTACGTCACGTGTATAATGATTACGTCACATGTCTAAATATAGAACGTCAAACTGTGCATCTGTTGCATAATAACACACACTTTCTGTTCTTCTATGTTCAATAGGGAAAAATGCGGGTCGTGTTAGAATTACAAATAATTTTCTTTTTTATTATCCCCTTTACATTCATAACATCATCAATACTCACACAAACATCCATCACAAAACTGATAATAGTGATGACACATGCTTAAAATCTATGCATTGCATGTTGGAGGAAAGACTTTTAAAACAGGTATACTATATAAATCTGTGTGCATGTCAACTGCGCCAGACCTACCCATCATTTAACCAATCAACTGCACACAGCGGTTTTTTAATATCAGTAAAATGATTTTTGGAACGATTGCAGGGTTCTTCTACGTAATAATACGCGGCAAATATCTGAGATCTGGGATTTGTAACTATACATAAGAATACATATATGAAAGTAAGTTTTTCTATCTATGTGCACGTGAGCCCTTGGACAGGGCCAATATTGACTTCAGGAACATGATTTATGTAAATTTTGTAGATGTCAACAAGGGATACTTCATGCAAAATATCTAAACTTTAACATAAATATATTATTATTATGAAAAAAATGTTCTTATAACCTTCTTTGATTTAAAGCCTTTAAAATTCAGCAATTCAAAATGCAGTGGTAGACATGGGCTTAACTTAACATATTGGTATTTCTTCCTATGAACATATATTCTGTTCTTATGTATAACAAGACAGGTACTACCACTTTACATCACATATCAGTCTTTCATTTAGAGAGGGATTATCTATAATAGAGCAAAACAGTATTTATATATCAATGTTTTGATATTTTACTTTTAAAATGCCTCATTTACAACTTATTGTTATTTAGTGAATATAACATATCGTAAGAAAAACATTAGTTAATAAGATTGACTTATTTCAAAATAATTAAATCATATAAACCTATAAAAGCTCCTCAACTATTATAATCTTAAAAGAAGAAAAACCTAAAAATATGAAGTTTGAAAAAAAAACATTAAAAAGTAATAGATTTTGAAAAATAAAAGTAAGTAAATACATATATATTGGGAGGAAAAATACTAATAAATTCATATATTGTAATATTCCTACTTCTATAAGGATTTGAATGAGTCAGTGTGACCTTGACCTGAGGTAGTTCAAAACTGTGCTTTGCAATATAAATATTTCTGCCAAAAAGGTTTAGATTTTATACATTCAATCGGTTTAAAAGAAACAGAGCGGCCACAATATTTTGATATTAATACAAAATGACTTAGTGTGACCTTCACCACCTACGCTCTGCACATCGTTTGATTATGGTTAACATTCTGCCAAGAAGTTTCAATTTCCTTCCACCGGTTCAAAAATGGAGATCGGACAAGAAAATTTACTAACAGACGGACGGACCGACCGAAAAACAGGTGCAAAATAATATACGCAGAAAGTCCTTCGGGCGTAAAAATGAAATAAATACGTCCTGTTCTTTTTCTGAAACATTTAAATTTTATTTTTTAGACATTGATTACAGGAAAAAATAATTAATTGTTTCTTAAATAAATGAAAAAAGAGTTACTTCAAAAAACTTCTTTGTTCATTAATTATTAATATAGCTTTCAGCTACACGTTTTAAGTGCACTTAGCTCTAAATATTTAAAACAATATATTTATACACACAAAAACGTTCAATAAAAAAAGATGCACAAATTTCCTAACCCGGCATAGAAGTACAGTTTGGGGGATTCATCCACCCTGCTCCACACATCATTTGAATGTTCCCGTCTAGTTTAAATCCGGCATTACACGTGACATTTGCCGTGCATAACATCGTTGTGCACGTATATGAAAGCTGTGCATTCGGCACAAATGGTTTGCCACACTCTGAAAGAATGCAATTCAATGACAAAAATTGTTTCTTTGTGTTTAATGAATTGACAGGATATAAAGCTAATCTTATGCAATATTTATATAAAATCAATCAATAGTAAACTTACATTGTTTCTATAATTTTATGTTTGTTTCACTTACGGATCCTGTATGTCTTGTGATTGATATATACCATGTATGTATGTTGTTAATGTTTAATGAGGGTCCATCCGCCCGTAAGGGCACAAAAAGCAGCTCTCGCTTTTTAGTACGGATCCCATTGATATATACCACACTTCCAAAAAAAAAAAAAAAAAAAAAAAATATATATATATATGTATATAATTCTGCAAATAAAACAATTTTCAAACATCAAAGAATATGTAAAATGTGTACTGCAAATATTTGTGCACACTATATTTAATCAATAAATTATATCATTCATTTCTTATTGGACAATTTGACTTAGAATTTATAGAAAATAAATTTCTAATTACCTCCCTTTATTTACATGAAATCTTTTAAATTGGATAATATCTTTATAAATAATGCTTATTTGAACTTACAATATTGACAAATCTTAATTTGAGCATCGTATTTATGAAATAAAACCATGAAAAAATTGCGTTACAGGATCTTTAAGCAAACATGAATATTGTACTTAAGCACCAAAGATTCGCGCTTAAAATGTCTCTTAAATTAACAATACTATTCTTTTAAAAATTTAGACGCATTTTTTTCAGCAAATATATAGCTTCATTCACTTAAAACATGCTGTAATAATAAAGATTGTTACGTAACGTTTTTTATCACATAAAACGCGGCGCGGGAGTGTAATAAAGCCATTTATTATATACTTATAAATGAAATATTGAGAAATATTGATGAAATAAAATGCGTATTTTCATTTTCCGTATTTTCACTGTAAAAATTTATTTTTCACTGCAGTGAAACATATTTTCCGTATTTTCACTGGTGTCTTGTCGGACTACTTTCTTTTAAATTCTGCCAGTACACAAAATTTAAGGGAAAGTCTTTTAAACTTTAATGTCAAAAAAGAGAAAAATGTATATAATAAACAGAAAATTCAAGTTTTTTCTATAAATACGTGATTTATTTTCATCTTGTGGCATGAAAATTACCATATTTCACTCGTGGCTACCGCCACTCATGAAATATTTATTTTCATACCACTC